TGGGGGTTCTTTTTTTGGGAGGGAGGGGGTGTAGGGCGGGGAGAAGGGAGAGGAGTTGTAATTTAACGAATTTGCCACAATGCGAAATAAATAGTTATTGCATCGCAACTGTCTTCTTTGACAGTAAGGTTTGACAATAAAAAGGATAAAGAACAGTTCGGTAGTTAAAATCTTGAAGGACACAGTGGGCACATTCTCGATCAGCAGGTATAGAGACAAGGTTGCGTTATATTTTGAACTATTATACACAGATCAGAAATATGAATGTGCGTATCCCATAGTATGCTTGTTGTTTTGTGTCATTAAACGTTTCAGATAAAGTAAACCGTATTCTTAAATAAGTTCGAATGGCATAGTTGTGTTTCTTTTTTAAAGTGCCCGAAACACCATAATAATATCTTCAAGCGTTACTGAATGCACATACTCATTGACGAAAGCATCTCAATGTAATTTAAAGGTGGTGCCTCCGAATTTTAAGTCCAATACAATCTTTAGAACAAGCCTAGCCTTCACAGCTGAGTGTAGCACAAAAAAAGAGTAGGCAAAGCATAACCTTTCAAAACAAGATCAACACGGCTTTCAAAGATGATCCTGCAGGGCACTGTACAAGGAGGGAGTAGGAAAGGCAGACAGAAAAAGGGATGGGAAGATAATGTAACGTTTAAAGATGGGTGAAGCCCTTCAAAAGACTGAAACTACAGGAAGAGTGGGAAAAGTGGTTGCCCGATCATCCTTCGTGTCCCAACGGTCATCTAGTCTGAGCGATAAGTAAGTTACTTTTCAAATTCCTTCTTTTTTATATTTTTATTGGGATGTTTCTATTATTGAGGATTGGAAGCATTTTATTGAAAATGTCTTTGCCATTTTATTTCATTAATTTAAGTTGTAAATTTTAACCCAAATAAGCAAAGACATTAAAAATAAAGGAACAAAAAAAAACCAGCGACACGTCAATCGTATGAATGCATCTCATAAAAGATAAGCACGGAATATCACGAGGGTGATTCTTGGACAGCGCATAACTAAAGCATCTCTTTTAATTTTCGCTAATATACGTAAACTCTGCCAACACCCACTCTAAAAACATGTTCCTTCTCACATGGAAGAAGAGTTAAAGCTCACCCAAACAAACTTGTCATTTATAGAAATGGTCTTCTTTGGGATTTCTGAGGTGGTCTGGTCTGTCGGGGAATGTTTTATCCGTTGTTGGTTGTTTGGTTGTTGTTGTTGTTGTTTTTATGGAGCATTCTGAATATAAAAAGATGTGCAATCATTGATGTTTGCAGTTTGGCTAAATGATGTTTGTTCTTTTATTGCTCTCCATTAAAACACTTCCACTTTTTTCGTGGTTTGCGTTTGTCTTCCCAGATCTTTCACACTCTTCCCATATTCTCTGTCTCTCA